TTAAACATATATTATGCTACTTAGCCCACCTACAAAAAGAATATGTTAAACTACTTCAGCTCACCTACAAACAATATGTTAAACTACTTCAGCTCACCTACAAAACAGTATGTTAAAACTACTTCAGCTCACCTACAAAACATTATGTTAAAACTACTTCAGCTCACCTACAAAACAATATGTTAAAACTACTTCAGCTCACCTACAAAACATTATGTTAAAACTACTTCAGCTCACCTACAAAACAATATGTTAAAACTACTTCAGCTCACCTACAAAACAATATGTTAAAACTACTTCAGCTCACCCACTTCCACTGGTGTATACTCCACACTATATCCATTTTCATAGTGACCAGTGAGGGTATACTCAAGTTCCTGTTGGTTCGGACCTGGAAATCAGCCAACACGTTTTATATCAAAACACATAATTTTTGTGGATTAAAATAATGCTACCTAGATTTCATCAAAATGTTCTTCAATAGACCTAAAAATTTTTAAATTCATTGCCATAATAAGATATGTAATACAAAAGTGAACAATACCATTTTAAAACAAAACAAAAAAATCTGAAGGAAAACACTAACATTTTCAATCTCATTGCATCTTACACCATTTTGTTTAAAAGTAATGAATATATTATTAATCAACGAACTCAGATTACTCAACACTTACCTATGACAGTGACATGGGGTTGGCCCACGTTAACCCCATGTGTGTTAATGTTAAATGTTGCAGGAAAATTCACAGGAACTCTTTGAAGACCATCGTCAATGATTTGCACTTTGGACAAGCTCTCAGGGTTAATGATTAAGCATTCAAATGGGCTTCCTAGTAGATATAAACATAATACTGGAATAGTAATAAATGTTTTATGCACTAGATTTAAATCATTCAATTGATGTATTTATTGGAAATGTATATATTTATATGATTACTTGGCTAAATTTCCAGTATCAAAAACGACAGGAAATTGCTATTTTGCAAATAAAACCTTCAGAAAAAAATCTTGTCATATTTTATATATCTGAATATATTTAAAGCTTTGAATTTGTAATGGTTTGTGGTAAAATTACTATCAACCAATGAAAGGAGTTGTAACATTTGGATAACAACCAATGAATGAAGTTGTAATATTTGCATAACATTTTATACATTTAAGTGAATTTATAGTTATGAAAACTTTTTAAGACTGCAAGTACAAATCACTTAATTGACATCATTATTAACTTGTCAAAATACAATTACTTACCCAAAACAGGCTCTCCATTAAACTTGATGTCAATGAAATGAGTCTGTTCATCCCGTGGGTGAAAAGAAACAATGTAACGAGACAACGATTCAGCATGAGCAAATGTTTCGACAAGTCCATCATTGATCATTACTTCTAGGTTTCCTGGGCCAGCATTTGCTGTATCCACTAAAAAATTTAAGATTTTCACAAAAGATCTGTTGTAGTTTCGACTGATAGGAAAAGATTATAACACCTGTTAAAGTCTGTATAAGATTAAGTAAGTACTGACTGGACTTGTACTTTTTAAAAAAGTACAGACAAAACAATAAGAATAAGGTTCTAAAATATAATAACAAAATGCCTGTGCAGATCTTAGTTAATATTCCATTAAATTACATTAGTTTGAAGTTAAAACTATATCATATATTGTTAAGATATAAAATCTCTTTGAAATGGACAGATTCTTACACATCTAAATTACATGTAATTGGAAATGCTTCAATTATTCGATAAATTTGAAATGATTTAAAAAAGGACCGTGAACAGTAACCCACCTTTATTACGTAAAGTATAGTTTCACTGACAACGGAATTGTCAACTCTTTACATATTAACATTTTCTTAACCACATTCCTTTCACCCTATATTTAATTATTTCTCTTTCTCCACACTTACTGCATAAAGTTCAACTCTATAACAAAAAACTTTACATAGCTGGAAAACAACATTATATTTCCGTTTTAAAAAATTGTTCTTTATTGTAACTGCTGCATCACACTAAATGTTACACTCCATGTTACTTCTGTAAAATACATTTTAATCTAAAGATTTTACATCACACTATACTTTTATACCTTTTATCTCAACACATAAGTGCTACATCGTATATAAGTGTAAACTTACTTTAATTTTGACAGAATTAGATATGATTGCATGTTGTTACCAAATTTTTCCAGTTTTTTTTTTTACCCCTGTTGTAGCTAAGTGGTCTAGAAACTTCTTTCATCTAGTTTTTAACCCTCAAATTACTGACTTATTTTTACACCATTCATCATCAGTGGGGTACAAATATTGCATCACCTTGAGTAATTTCATGTTTTTACCTGTTACAACATGCACTCTACTGAATGATCCTAAAAAATAAAGAAAACTTGTTCATTTTTCAAAATAAAATATATAGGAGACCCCAGTAGTAATTAGTGGGATTAATTACAATATTTGTAATTAATTTGTATTTTTGTTTAGATTTTTGTGTATGACTTCTATGTTATTAATGACTCTGAAGCCAACAAAGTTTTTGTTTGTTTGTTTGGTTTTGAATTTCACACAAAGCTACACAAAGACTATCTGTGCTAATCGTCCCTAATTTAGCAGTGAAAGACTAGAGGGAAAGCAGCTGGTCATCACCACTCACTTCCAACTCTTGGGTTACTCTTTTACCAACGAATAGTGAAATTGACCATCACATTATAATGCCTCCACAGCTGAAAGGGGTGAGCATGTTCGGTGACAGGGATTCGAACCCGTGATCCTCAGATTGCAAATTGAGCGCTCTAACCACCTGGCCATGCCGGGGCTCCAACAAAGTTATGAACCCACAATAATCTTGTATGTAAATAATTTAAATCAATGTGTTTAAAAAAGTCGACTGGTATTTAAGGTTAATCTCATTTAATATGAGATATGAAATCATATCTTAACAACAGTCTCGTAGTATTACTAACAAAGATTATTTTACATATAAAGTGGATAATGCCTAGAAAACATTACTTTAGCAACAGTATTTACCTACTTAGCAAAGATTATCTGAACTTACCTAGAAATGTGACTGGCTTTCCTACAAGTCCAAATCTGATTTCACTGACTTTAATTTTGCTGATATCATAAACCTTACTGATAAAAGAGCTACCACTTATAGAAATGTCAAAATAATCTAGTAAAATTCTGTGTTCTCCTAAAAATGAAAAAAACAACAAATAACCATACAGCATTTCTAAGGAAGATATTATTACATGTCATTCAGGTACATTCACAATAATTATTACTTCAATAAAAATTAGAAACTAAAGATCTGTTAAAAATGGATTGTACACTTTATAATTTTAAATACATTGTACTAGCTGAGAGAAATTTTCCAAAATGATTTTCAAATACTGTTAGTTTTAAGTATTATATAATCAATAAACATGTTTTGTTATTTGACTTTATGAAATGTAAAATAACTCAAAGACAACGAAGTAGTAATAAAAATAACATTGCAGAGGGGGGAGTGGAACCTTTTCTCCTCCTCATCTGTTGAGACATCAGAGTGGAATAAAAAAAATCTTAACACTTTATAAAGTTATTTTTAATCTCTGTAATATCTGGTATTGAAATATTACAATTCTGTGATGAAAAACCTTTTAATAAAATCGTTTCTAAATTACAAAATAAGATTTATATAAAATTACGTCTTAATTGCTATCATGACTGCTATATTATAATAACTTAAGCGAAATCACAAACAAAATTTCTCATTGTTATGTCTGTGGGGGGGAAAAAAACCATGTGCATGTATGTATGTATATGTGCACATAATATGTTATACCATGTTGAATTGAAAACAGATTGACAGATAAAGAAATGGTAAAGGACTGTTTTTTTACACATTTAATTTAATGGAGGAAACTAAAAAGAAGTATAGTCGTGCAATTTTAATTTACTTACATTAAAAAAGCAACATTAATTTACCTATGACTTCAGGTTTAAAGTGCACCTTGTAGTTTCTTGGGCTACTTTCCTTAATAGTAAATGGTAATGACTGTCCATAGGGATCTATGAAACAAAAAAATTAATGCATACATTGAAAGTTATGAAAATAGCATTAATTTGTTTCAAAAGTTGGATAGTCATCTACTAACTGCTCTCTAAATTACATTTCATTTAATTATTCACTACAGATGCTGAAAATTAAATAAAAACCTTAATTGTATTACTGGCCTTTCTGAACGATAAATAATGAGCAAAGTTTAAAATAAAAGAAAAAAAATATATACATACATATACATATTATATGGAATTCAGAAACAAAATAAAAACATAATCTGTACAAGGATATTTTTTTCATATTTTATGTAAAAGTAATTCATTAAATATGCTTGCATATATTTACCCTCAATACAAATTTTCAGATCCTCTACAGATCCAGAAAAGTCCTGAATCATAAAAGTTGCTGTTTTGTTAACACAAGCGGCAACCAATGAAGATCCAGTTATACATGCTTTACTCATTTCATGAAACATTATCTTAAAAGGACTTCCTGTGAGAAAGACTTGCCTGTAAAAGACAAAAAAAAGTATTACAGTACCAACAATATGTATTTCGTAACAAATACTTTAATAAAAAACTCTACCAGCAATTATTTCACAGTGTTGCAAAACTGCTAATTACACAACACTAAAAGTGGAAAGATACAATTACAAGATACAGTGTATGCATTAAAATTTTACACTTGTCATTATACATTGCATATGATACCACTACTGGTCGCCATTTCTTTCAACTAAAACCTTTAGGCAACATTAAATGAACAACTCCTGATGGTATAACTTAATTTCAATGGCTTTTTTTATGCTTTGGCTACTATAACAGTGAAACAAATTACTTTATAATCAATTTGTATTACATTTACTAAAATATATCTTTCTTTCATTAGTTCTTTCGTATTTGCTTAAAATCAAGCATATGGATAAAATGTATGGTTATTAAAACAACAATCAAATTAACCCTATGTACATGGATGGGAGTTAAAGTGTGTATGTCCTGACCCTGTATAGAGTTCCATTCAACATGATATCATGCATTTGATATCAGGGTTATCAACATTTCATGTTACCTTACATTGCTTATTTCACAATAGGGATAATTTAAAAGACTTTACACGTGCACTCAGGAGATCACTGCAGTTATGCAAATACAACATTTAAACTGTACGATGGGAAAAAAAATATTTTTATTCTTCACACGATCATCACCTTGCACTCTAACTTGTCAGAGTCTGAGTACGGCTGACTTCAATATTTCACAGGCATCTTTTATACAAAAACTTTAGTACCGTATCTGAATAATTGTGTACGACAAAACTGTAGTGTTGAATAAAACTTGCCACATTTCATGAAAACACACAGACTTCATAGATTTGGAATTATAGTCAACATTACTTCTCTTATATAGGGAAAAGAAAACAAAATTACAAAAACAGTTTCTAACTATGATCAATGTGCAGTAATATCAATAAATAAAGAAAATAAAATTAATAAACTGAAAACAATACAGCATTAAATACTAGCAGAATGAATATGTAAATAACATAAATGTGATATAAGAAAAAGGTTTTGTGATGTTGAACCTGAGACTGGATCTCTGTCAAAGAAGACACTGATGGTGTGTTCTATGGACTCTGCTGAAACAAACGATACACCAAATTTGGCATTTTCCAGTGAACTTCGGTTTCAGTGTGTTGCTCCTGTGCACAGTCTGTGATCTCTATGTTTCCTTGTTCAGCTTTATTCACGTCAACTGAAGAAACCAAATCAAGAAAATATGTGATGAAGCATTACCCAAAGAAAGATGCACACTAGGCTGAACAAAAGCATATCAAAGCTGTTTCTATCAAAATATTCCAAAGTATCTCCTGAGATATTTAAACTTTCCAACAACTATGGAGGTGCAACTGTTTCAATTCTTAAAAAAAAAGATTTACTAACAAGCAACTAGTATGTTAATTCTTTAGCTCAGAGACTCAAGTACTTATCTATAATGCCAGGTTCAAATCCCACATACAAGAGATATAAACACTGACTTTACCACAGAAAAACTGGTGCCCAGTGGTCCAATGTGTAGCTTTCCCGTGACTCTCAGATAAAATCCAGAGTGGGTTGGCCTTATTTGTGTAAAAGGAATAATATAGCAGTTTTATTTCATTTAAACAAAAATGCCATACTACAAGTAGCTTAGTTGGTAGGTAGAATACTGGCATGGTGTGTTGGTAGGTAGAATACTAACATGGTGTATTGGTAGGTAGAATACTGGCATGGTGTGTTGGTAGGTAGAATACCAGCATGGTGTGTTGGTAGGTAGAATACTGGCATGGTGTGTTGGTAGGTAGAATACCAGCATGGTGTGTTGGTAGGTAGAATACTGGCATGGTGTGTTGGTAGGTAGAATACTAACATGGTGTGTTGGTAGGTAGAATACTAACATGGTGTGTTGGTAGGTAGAATACTGGCATGGTGTGTTGGTAGGTAGAATACCAGCATGGTGTGTTGGTAGGTAGAATACCAGCATGGTGTGTTGGTAGGTAGAATACTGGCATGGTGTGTTGGTAGGTAGAATACCAGCATGGTGTGTTGGTAGGTAGAATACCAGCATGGTGTGTTGGTAGGTAGAATACTGGCATGGTGTGTTGGTAGGTAGAATACTAACATGGTGTGTTGGTAGGTAGAATACTAACATGGTGTGTTGGTAGGTAGAATACTAGCATGGTGTGTTGGTAGGTAGAACACAAGCATGGTGTGTTGGTAGGTAGAATACTAGCATGGTGTGTTGGTAGGTAGAATACTAACATGGTGTGTGGGGTAGGTAGAACACAAGCATGGTGTGTTGGTAGGTAGAATACTGGCATGGTGTGTTGGTAGGTAGAATACTAACATGGTGTGTTGGTAGGTAGAATACTAACATGGTGTGTTGGTAGGTAGAATACTAACATGGTGTGTTGGTAGATAGAATAATAGCATAGTGTGCAACATGTCTCATGTCTGATTCTGTTCACTGAAAATGCAAAACCTGGATTATCACATAAATAACATACTTTTACATCACTGATATTTTACTAACTATACAGTTAATTATCATCAACATAAGTTTAAAACACAAGTACTATTCTGTAGAACATGTGTTTCAGTTGTATAGCTGATGATAGTGAGCTTTACAACCACCAATATTTCAAAAGAATAAAAATATTCCAAGTACATTACATAGTTATTGTCAAGTCAGAATAAATTTTGTGGAATGTACAGCACTTTTAAAGCTTGGCACATTCAAACAAACAACTAATCCTAGATTTCAGACACAGTAGTGTTCCTTAAAGTATAAATAGCTCAGTCTCATAGAACAAAAGTAATTAATTAGCTGAAATATAAAAAGTAGGGCAAAGGCATGTGTATAAAAATGATGCTAATATTTACAGATGTAAGATCCTCAGCTATATACATATGATAAAACTTTCTCATACCGTTAATAAACTGATGCAAAAAATTTATGTCGTTCAAAAATGTAATCAATTGTATTTATAACAATTAAAAACCAAAGTTTTAGTTTCACAGAAAAAATAAACAACATGAATTTATTTTGTTCTTTAAAATGTTTGGTTACTGCCTACATTGTTATCATGTTCATTTACCTAAAAGTTCAACTCAAAAAAAGAAATCCGCTAATCCAAGTGTTTTCTGAAAATGGAACTACCATTTTTGGTGTTTTTTTTAGGAGTAAATGGCAAAGTTAAAAGTTAAACATAGGAGAAGATTATTATGAAGAGATAAAATATAATAAAGAAAGTAATTATTACTCTTACTTCAAAAGAAATTTAAAATGTAGCTTTCTGGCAGCCACATATAAATACAATTTTACATATAGTACTTGGCCATCAGTTGAAAATTTACTTTACTTGGCTACAGTACATATATAAAGGTCTTACTTGCTTTTTATATTTTAAACTAGGAAAACCCTACTCACTCCACACAGCTGTGCATAGCAAACAATAATAATAATAAGTGTTTAATGAAACACAAAACAATGTCACTCTGAGATGATGAACAGTTTCAATTACCATGGATAACCTATTATACATACCAAAATAATTCCACCCGAGAACTCTACAGTCTTTCCACAAGTTTCTTGTGGTATTATACTGACATTTACATTTTTTACGTTATAGACCTTCACAGTTTACTCCCCACATGTGATCCTGCGTCTTCTAAGTTGACGGAACGTAGGCCTGAGAGGATGTAAAACAAATGTCTTTTTTTTTCTCAGATACAGAATTAAAACAGAGCTTATTTTCTAACAATATACTTTGATACTGTAAAGGGCTATGCAGAAGTTGACTTCTAAGTATTAATTACACACAGAAAATGACTTAAGCAAACTCATGCTTCCACAGTGACATAAGCATAAAATCTATATGTGTATAACATAACCTAGTTAGCACATACTGCACTGCCAACATCTACCACACATAGTGTCTGTCTGTGTCAGCTACATACACACAAAATGAGTACATGACCTTTTGTTTTTTTTAAATCAGTTAATTATTACATGACTAAGGTAAATGTCACCTACATCAAATCTATACAGGATGACTCACAAAATTATTTAAAGCAGGTGAGCACCTTATACAGAAAAATAGAGGAAAAGCCTCATTAAGTCCATGTTAAATAGTAAAATAACCTTGGTCTACTTCTTGCTGAAATCAAACTAAATGAATAATCAACATATGAATCAACCTTCTGTATGTAGATGACTTTAATGAGTTTATTAACATTATTCACATTATATGTGTAAGTGTAGACAAGTTCTGTCAGCAATTAAAAAGAAGGAAAGAAGTAAGTGAGAAGAATGTTTAAGTTTTATACAGCACACCTGGGTCATTGAAAGAGAATGTTTAAGCTTTATACAATATACCTAGGTCAATGATAGAGAATGTTTAAGCCTTACACAGCATGCCTAGGTCAATGATAGAGAATGTTTAAGCCTTACACAGCATGCCTAGGTCAATGGTAGAGAATGTTTAAGCTATACCAAGCACACCTGGGTCATTGATAGAGAATGTTTAAGTTATACCCAGCACACCTAGGTCAATGGTAGAGAATGTTTAAGCCTTACACAGCATGCCTAGGTCAATGACAGAATATGTTGAAATTAATCTCAATCATACTATAATCTTATTCGACTACATTCTAAATGATTCTCTGGCCAGCATTAAAACCAGTTTGAAATAATACACACACATATATTAAGCGTTTTAAACAATCATCAAATGTTAATCTACAAACATTTTTTAAGACTACTTTTTAAACTATGAACTTAGATAAATAATTAATATACATACAGTAAAGTTCTGCATGAAAAATGTGGAAATTGTTTTTGGGCCCAGTTACAATTGTCCGGTATTCTGGACTGTCCTCTTTCATGTAATACAGAAAGTGTGTCATCCCTAACAATACATCAGTATCAGTACTGGGACTTGCAAGGTCTTCAGGAGTCAAAATCAAGGGTATAGTAAATAGTTCTTTAGCTAGTTCCATGGCTTTTGCACAATTCTTCACCCTAGGACATGACAAAGATAACATGCAAAAACTTTTATTTCATATAGTACAACTACAAAGAAAGGTCTCACAAACTGTGCATATTAACTGTAACACACACTGGAAGACTTTATGTTAAACAACTAAGGAAAACAGAATATTGCTTCAGTATACTTTTTACTTTTTCAACTAAATGAGAAATCTTAATGTGCACAATTAACCTCATATTTAATACAGTTGTGCACAATTATCCTCATATTTAATACAGTTGTGTACAATTATCCTCATATTATACAGTCAGTTCCAAGCTTTAAGGTTATTAAGTTGCATTTCTTCTAATATATTAAACAAAAATTATCAAATGCAGCAAATGCTAAACATATCAAGACCATTACCTGTACATAGAGAAACATGTTATTTCTGTTCATAAGTTTTGTTAATTATAACTGTCATTGTTTCTCTGTAGTAAAAGCTCATAAAATATGCTCAAAACACTTGAATAATATTTTTGCAAAACAAAATAGTTAGGCTTCTTTGCCTTAATTGTGTCTCTGTGTACATATATACATATGAAAATTAGAAAATCCTGTTCAAAACTAATTGGCATTTTTCTTGCTTTTTGGGGTGATGTCTAACATACTTTTCATTATAAGCTACCTTTAAAGTAACTAAAGATTGATCATTTTTTCTTTCCTTTTCTCTGGGGTTCAGTTTGGGCAGAGTCCAGGATGACAATAGTCAAGCCTTTTCACTTAAAAAATAAAACAAAATTTATTTTTTTATTATAAGCAGTGAAGACTAAAACTACTCTCATTAAGGAAAAATCACTGGAGAAAACCTTTGTTGCATATGATTACAAATATATATGGTGAATACATTTTCCTCATATCCTTACTTGATGTTATATGATCACTTTAAATATTTTGTAAAGTGGCATCTGAAAAAGACTGCATGTGACACTGAGAGAATATTTCATGATTCAGTTATAATTCTTTAATTTTATTTTTTTATTACATTTGCCACATTTTTTTGCAGTATTTCACTATTTGTGAAAGAGGTATCAATGATTATAACTTCCACAATCAATAACTTATTAGTCAGAAATGGTATTAATTTGGCAGGTCGTCTAAGATTACTTCATGGTTATTTCTTCTTTCCAATCTGTTTCAAAGTTGTTAAACCTTTATTGATGGTAAGGAAGCCTGAAGCTATTCTATTTCCAGCTTGAATGTCTTTGCTGGGTAGTTGATTCGGATAATTTAATATCTCAAAATTAATGTCCATATTAAAACCCAAAAGAAGTTTTAAATTTCCTTACACTATGTCGGTATTACCTGGGAAAATAAACGTCATTCACTGATTATCAAAATGTTCTAGGTCTATATCATGACAGGATAATACATAGCCACAACATTCACACTCTGTACAGTGTACCACAATTACTCTCTGGTATCGAATACACTTTACTTACCTTTACAAAGTATTTTAATTTACGTCACTTCACCCAAATACATGCACCGTGAAATTGGCTATTAGGTTGTAAAATGACTGATATTTAATGTAAATGTTAACCGTTCCAAGTGTTTCGCTAGCACTCAGTAGCAGTCTTTATACCTTAAATTAGGGGTTCCTCGTTCTTAACACCTGTTACTAGTGTTATACCCATTCTCTCAATACAATGTTTCTACTTCTAGCGTATAATTACGATTGCTAAAGAACTTCAAGTGACCTGATGATGACAAAATCTTGTCGAAACGTTGTACATTTGCTGTTAGTGTTATGTTAAACTTATATTAAAGTTTTTCTTCATTACCCATTCAAGCCGTCTCCAAGCACTATTCAAGTGACCTGTTCGTTTTTGTATGTGACTAACTTTCTGACAGTTAAATAAACTGTACGGTTGGAATTAATAATATAAGCTAAATCTTTCTTTTCTTTTGTGATAGTAGTTGTCAACTTCTTCGATAAAGGTGTGCCCGATTAAAAGCGTAGCAGTATTATATGTTGTTAACCGTTATCACATGGTATATTTGCATCACAGAGTATATATACGACGTCATACTCAGTGTACTCGAGCGCCATGTTTGAATTAAAGGCAAAGCATTGCTTTGCATAACAAACATACTAAATAACACAAACACACAATCACAAAATCAGGAAACAAACAGAACACAAAGAAGAACGCTTCTGTTGGCAACACCCAAATACACAACCAAACTCAAGACACACCTAAGTAAACGAAGAACATACAACACACAAAAAAAAACACGAAACAACAAGCAAAAATAAAAGGAGCAGCCAAAAGTATATTTTACGAATTCCTAGCACAATACAGAAACCTCCAAAACCAAGCTGACAGCATCACACTAATCATTAAAATAGCTATAGAACTCCTAATACCATAACTACCACAGACCATACAATTACTCGTACTTCCACAAATATTACAGAACACAACTACACAGCTAATATAATTTTCAGAAAGACACATGACCTGAAAACATAAAATAGACATAGCCCTGAAAAGGAAAGTTGTAATAGAAAGTGATAGACATCCAAACCAGCTTATTTTTAAAACTCCGAGTCGAGAACATCAAACAATAACAGGAGGAAGAGGTCTACTAAGTACCGGACCCTCCCAGGTCGCCAAGACCTAAATTCCGATGATTGATTGATTGTATTCAAATCCATTTCGCGAATAACAACTATAGTATTTGACTGTTTGTTAATGATATTCATGGAGGGAGGAAGAGGTCTGATGAGAACCTGACCTTCCAGATCCCGCACAACAACCGAATACCACCCAGAACACAGATTGTATACAAATGCTTTCTTTGTTTGTAATTAAGCACAAAGCTACACAATGGGCCATACAAATGCAATGGCCGCATGATGTAATAATGGGTTTTCCTAGCTACTGCGCCGAATTCTTCCGAATAATTAATGTGGGTTTTATCCATGACACTCACGAATCAAACCAACAGCCAAGGAGGGAGGTAAAGGTCCAAAGTTTATCTGATCCTCCCAGGTCACTTGATCAAACAACGACCAAAGAAACGACGACGTTTGTATACAAATACAGAAAACAGCCTTATAACAGAAGCAGTCAAAAACACATTTATCGATTCCATCAGAGAATATCAAAACCCTATAAAACAGCAAGACCACATTATTCTACTCTTCCAAACAGCTAAGAACTATTTCACACCTATAATTCCTTACACAATTCATACTGTTACGACAGCGGAAGTCACGTGACGCTGCTGGCGCGTTGGCGCTGATGGGCGTGCGTGATAAGTTTCTCGAATGATGGAGAAGTCCGCGTGTGTTAGAGATACTGTTACGACAGCGGAAGTCACGTGATTCTGCTGGCGCGTTGGCGCTGACGGGCGTGCGTGATAAGTTTCTCGAATGATGGAGAAGTCCGCGTGTGTTAGAGATGACCTCTTCGTTAGTATATAAACCTACAGAGTAAGCCAGGATATATGAATGAACAGAGAGCAGTAGTCACTTTCAGTTCCGTGTAATTTATGATTCTGTTAGTTTCGAGCTAGTCAGCCGTAAAGTGTGTGTTTTGCGCTCGTGAGAGTGAAATTATCGAGATTGTGAATCGTTGTGATTTATAGCGAGTATTATAAAAGTTGTTAAGTTGAAAGTGACGAGAAACGTACTGATTGTGGAACTACTGTGTACTAAAAGTTGTATCGAAGAAGAATAAACTGGTTTAATCAAGAAAGGACTTGTATCGCTGAAGATCCTCAGAAAGAATTTCTACCGGAAACAAGCAGATACGTAACAATACATTCATGAACTCTCTCCTCACCTAAGAATTCAAGACCCATATCCAGAGTATCGTATTAAACAAGTCACCTTTAATGAGACATTACAATATCACTTAGGTTAACGTATCAAAAGTGTATTTATGTGAAAAACATATCTGATAAATTGGAAAGAAGAGGTCTACATAATAATTGACCCTCTCAGGTCGCGAACAACACAACAGAATACTGACTCCAAGCTATATTGACATTGAGACTTGTACAACGCCATATCACGTGAAAGTAATAAAACATGTGATTTGTGATGTAATCGATTCATATTGGCATTAAACATGATTTTTATTATTAATTTTTACCACTTCTGGACTTCTACAGAAACTAAACATCGTCAACGTCTGAGGGCAGGAGGGGTAGAGGCTATGTTCCCAGATCTCCTGTGTCTGTGATCACCTACCAGAGCAACTTCACACTTCAGTTCACCCCTAGGTTAAAATATCTTCCTATTATATTTTTAACACTTACAGTTTCTTGTTCCACTTTAATAAAAACTTTTTCAGAAAATTCTTGGACAACACTTACTTCATAGGGCAATATTCCCAAATCTGTTACTAAAACTAAAAGTGTTTATAATTTCACAGTGAATTATATATTAGAAACCACAGTATTTATAGTTTCTAAATTCTTTCAATTCAGAGTTTGTGGCATTTTTTCACAATTGTTTTCTCTTTAGTTGAATAATTTCTTCTCCAGGTATTGAAAAAAAAAGAGGGTCTCTGTTCCAACCTTCCTTTTTTTCAATTGAAATCAAGATCAATCCACAAAATATAAGTATTGAAGTAGCATACATAAAACATACCGTAGAAAATAACAACTAGCAAGCTATTTGTCTGTCTTTTATAATTAACTACTTCTTTCGATGTTAGTCAACAGTATTTAAGCCACCTTTTGTACTATTGTAATTTAGGGTCATCACTGGCTTTTTGGCTGATGCATTGTAAATTTCTGGATGAACAATCATTAGTATTAAGCAACTAGTATTCCCTTATTATGAGCCCCCCCCCCTCCAAATGCCTGGATGCTTATAACACTAAAATCCAGGTTTTGATTCCCGTGGTGGGAAAAACATAGTGTTACGCATCTGCTTGTTTGTTAATTTCTCATATAAATTCTTTCCGAGAAAGTTCAGCGATACAAGTTCTTTCTTAATTAAAACTAGTTTATTCTTTCTCGATACAACTTTGCAATACACAGATTTCTACAGTTACTTTAATTTAACTACTTTTATAAACACACGCTATAATTCACAGCGATTCACACACTTTACTTACGTTGCCTACTGTTTGCTTGACTCAGTTATTCCTCTTCAATCTATCTCCGGCTTATATACTAAAAAAAGAGGGCGTCTAGCAAACGCTGGGACATTCGTGAGGTTGCCCGATAAGTCACGATCCTTTTAGAAACTCCAGCGTGCATGCTCCCAGCGTCGCGTGACTTCCGCTGTCGTAACAATAGATAATTCATCGTGTAGCTTTGCGATTAGCAACAAAAAAGAAAAAAGAAGCTATTATAAAATTAGAAAAGCAAATTCACTGAAACCAAATTTATTTGTTTGTTTGTTTTGAATTTCGCGCAAAGCT